TGTGAGCGATGGTTATTATCTGCCTGCTCTGCTCACACAGCTTTATGATGCTCGTATGCTTTCTTCCTCTGCTCCCAGTTCTCTCTCTCTCTCTTCTCTCTCTCTCTCACTATATCTTGTTCAACCTTACTCTCTCTGTAAATCTGAATGTCCATGTCCAGTCTCTCTCCTTCGCTTATTACTCCACAGCACTTCCTTTATTTTTCTCATCTCTCCTCCACTCCACCAGTTCCACCTTCTGTCTTTTGCCGCTTGTTATCGCGTTTTCACTCTTAAGCTTCCACTGCTTCACAGATTTAAAAGAAAAATCATAAGTAACTAACAATAACCCGAAGTTTGTTCAACCTGACAGATTTGTCCTTCCTATTTGTTTAATGATATCAGAAAAATCAACAGTCTGTACTTCCAGCAAAGGATGCTTGAAATAAGTACATGAAAGTAGAAACTGACACCTTACCAAGTGATAAAAAGCTGTCAAGAGGAAGTCAGACTTACCAGCGATAAAACTAATCATACTCTCATTTTAAAAAATCTAGCACATATGACAAAATCAGTTTACAACAAGTTATGGTCCATACATGGTAAGTTTTCATGTAGGAAAATAAGGTTTCACAATTAAACAAACAAAAATAAATAAATAAAAATCTTTTTTCTTTTTACGAAGGGCCCAGAGCATTGTGTGAAATGCCTTCATTTCAAAGACGGTCCAAACTGTGTGGAAAAGTGTCCCGATGGCCTGCAAGGTGCCAACAGCTTCATCTTCAAGTACGCTGAAGCCAACAACGAATGCCATCCCTGCCATGCTAACTGCACCCAAGGGTAAGTGCAGACAGGAAAAGGACAAGTTAGAGATGTGGGGAGTAATCAGCTTAGAGTAACGTCGTCACAAGACGTGGATTTGCACACCACTCGCCCCGCAAGCAGTTGCTTCATCACTGTTTTATTTATTTTACCAAAGTGACTAGTTGCTAACAGAATATTCATGCTATGTTTTCTCATGCTCATATTGCAAGCGAAATTTGACCTTCATATATTTAGTGGTTGAAAAGCACATGCTCACAAAGCTCTTGCCAGCCATAGTCTGCAATCATAAAATTATAGTCCGAACGTCTTGCAAGACATGTGAGATAAATAAAGAAGTGAAGCAGAAAATGAACCTGAAGAGAAAAAAGAATGAAAGTAAGGGTAGTTAATACCCTGCTACTCTCCACTGCTCACTAGCCACTGATCACTCAATGTAATATTCAACAAGGTTTGGTTTGGGAAGACATCATTTTGTATTTAACTCCACGGGGAGTTTATGTCACTTCCCTGTGTGTTATTTCTCCTCTTGTGAGTGACAGCACCCAGCTCACTTAAGCATAACAATGTTGTCGTAAATGGAAAACACCAGGCTGACACTGTCACAGGTACAGCTTCATAAGCAGGGCCGCCTCTCAGAGAAGCAAAAAACCCAATAAGCTGATGGAGGGGGAGGGATATATATTCTGAGTGGGAAAGGGACAGAGCCGGAGGCTTCCAAACATTCAAAAGAGCTACTAAATTTCAGAGACAGTATATGTGACGTGTGATGCCACTGAAAGATTAACACAAGGCGACTGGTGAAGCATCCAACAGATTTGGTTAGTTTTCATTAGAAGTCAGTATAACTTTGTAATCTGTCACTCTAAAAGTAAACTCTGAGTGAGTTCTAAAGCAAGGCTAAAAATGGTAGCCAACAAGGCTTTTATTCACATTTGTGCCACACGTAAGGCAAAACGCATTAGTCATATAAAAGGTATCGTTGTTGTATTGACATCTGCTCTACAATGAGCAAGCAAAAACATCTATGACAGTCAACACTTTCTGGCTAATTTTGGCTGCCTGTGTGTTATGGTAACATTTTTATATATGCGATATTAATGTTTGAATAGGATCAAATACAGCATGTGTCCTGTATTTATTTACTAAGGTGCATTGGACCAAGACTTCAAGACTGCATCGGCTGGATGGACAGGTACAAAATTCCTTTTCTTGGATCCCTCTATTATGTGCTTACGTACAAACGCACCTAAACAGAAGTACACACACGCACACACATAGAAGAACCGTACAGTAAGCAAAGTCTCTGATTAATGGATAGCTCTAAGGCCCCAAATCCCTGTGAGGTCCTTAATGCTTCTCTGTGCACGGTTGTGTGTGCGTGTCTGTGTGTGCTGCGCACGTGTGTGTGTGTGCCTGGTTGTTGATAAATTGATTGTGCTTTAGCATTTGTTCTGAAGCTGGGGGGAGAAAAGGCAAGAAAATGCTGCTCATAGTTTGCAGCAAATAGATTCAAGACTTCATAAGTGATGCAGTTTGGAATCAAGTGGTGCTAAAAATTGTTGCGTGGCGTTTTGAGGAATGATTAAAAAAAGAGGCTGTTAGGCAAGAGGAACAGCCTGCAGTTCACTATTTTGCAATGGAGATTTCCAGAACATCAAAAAGAATACTTTATACAAATTTCAGGTAGAAGGTAAATGCAATGGGATGACTATCAAAGTGGGTGTCAAAAAAAGTGAAACGAAAGAAGCTTTTACTGTCTTGCAGCCAGTGTTGGG